CTCAGTGGCTGGCCCTACAGGAGAAAGTCTTTATATAGAAGTAAAAGTCCTCCTAAGATTTAACTTTCTTTATCTGTACCACCAGAGAAGAAAATTGTGTAGGGATGGGTTAAGACGTAAGCACAATAGGCCCAGCAGCATGTTCACCATTTGCTGCAGACTGGGGTTAGGAACTTTAACTCTGAACTTGTGTTGTCTAAAGCTCTTGACAAGTCCCTAGCCTTTCTTTCTCACGTCTTTCCTGTGGATGCCTTTTCTCAGAAACTGGGGAGATGTAAATAAGTGAATAGATGCTGTTGTAGAAGAGAAAGAAGGTGGGGCTGGGGAGGAGGCCTGTGCATTTCAGGAGGAAAGCATCTATGAAGGGGAGATAAATGGAGGAAAGAACACCATGTTTTGAGAGGTTTGAGAAAGACATCTTCTATCGGTAAGGTGAAGAAGATAGGGGAGACACTTGTCCCTAAATGCCCCCACAGCCCCTTGCTTTTCCCTAGGACAACTTTAACCAGTTTGGCTGAATAATGCCATCTGTACATAGTGATCTTCCCAAGATCAAATATCCCAGAGGTCCTGCAATACCAACACCACTCACTTGAATTTTTGGCTACATTACTGAGGACAGACTTGAACTGCTGGCTTCTCTGTCACTTGCAAAGTAGGCCGAAACATGCCATCTCATAAAATCCAACGCATCTGTGGGCTATGGCTCTGGCCTGAAAAACTTATGACTTAGGTTCAGCTTTATGTTCTGCCAAATTTTGTGTGAAATTTCTGGTCAGAATAGGCAAACTTCACTACGTCTCAAAGCAAACACTTTAATACTGTTTTGTTTTTGCAAACCTTTGAAAGGCTTTTTATGAGCTCAAGGCAGGGCAACAGCAAGTTTCAAAACCACAGTGTTACTACAAAAAGGATTTTTTTATCTTCCCATCAGTTCTAATTACGTGGCTTCTCTCAAAACAGGTGCTTTCCTTCTCAGAAGCCATGTTAGTGGCTAAAGACTTGGAAATTTTCCCAAAGAGCCACTTCTATTGCTGAAAATCTCAGATTTGCTTGCAGTACTTTCCACCTGATATCCGTTTCTGAATAAATAAGGAAAAGAGGCATCTTGCATGCTAAAAGCTTTTCTAGATCTCCTTATTTACAGGGATATAGAATTAGCATAACATTTGCCTTTCTCTGAAATAAAAAACTAAAAGATTTTCAAGTTGTCTTGATTTTTCTCATTTTTATAGGAAAAAATTCTTAGGACTCATTCTGTGAGCGTAAATTTCACTTTTAAGTGCAGCTGAGAGCCCATTATGAGGTTTCCCAGGGTGTTTTGCTCTCCTTTCTAATTCCACTGGGTCTTTCGAATCCATGTATTACATTCATAGCTTCTAAAAATCCTTCCTTTGAAAGTTTGCTTTGGGTTTCCTTTTCCTTTTAATATACTAAAGTTGTTTTTTTTAATTACTGTTATGTTAGCATGTATGATCTATGAACAAAAAGCCCTATCAATTCATCCTTTCTATTTTCAATTTGATTCTGTGATGGCTGTTCCCAAAGCTGCTCTGAACTTTCTCCCTTAAGATAAACAAAATTTTCTCTTCAGCAATGGAAAAGAGTACTGCACTCTTATCCAAAATGAGATATTCCCAGGAGAAATACTGCCTTGTATTAGAACACTGCATTTTATCATCTTGAAAGACAGGCATCCAGTCTTTCTTATAGCTTCTATTCTAAAAAGATAAGCTTCACGACTTAGTCACGGGGCTGGATTTCCTATTGTCCTAAACCCTACATAGTCCTTCACATGAGGGCAAGATGGGTATAAAATGCTACCATGGTTGTATTTTATTGGTCTGAATATAAGGTGAGGTTATAAAAGACTGGGGGCAAGAAAGGGTGTGGGAGAAGGAGGGAGGAAATCCTACTTGCTATGTATCTGTGTTGAGCATGTGGCCTGTAACCATCTCTTCTGTTCCATGCTTCCTACACACAGACACACACCAGCAGCACTGAATTTTAGGTGAGGGAAGTAGGAAAATATAACTCAGACATGCACTCAGAAGGACACCGGGTCTAATGCTTCCTTGCTGAGGATTGACATGCCAGGCAATCGATCAGCAAGGCAGGTAGGCTTTGGGCTTCCTGTGGGACAAACTTGGTATGGGGAGGGTGATAGGGGACAAGTGCCTAACATTTACGTTCTGTAACAGGAATTGTTTCTCCCTTCTCAAGTAAGGGACTCTTCTTATTTCTAACTAATGCAAAGGGTTCAGGCAGTACAAGGTAAGGTGCTACTTCTAAAGGGAAAGATGGTCCCCAGTTTCTAAGAGAATGAGCTCAGTAAAATCATTGTGTTCTATTTCCTAAAGATCTGTTAACACACAGTTTTTAAAAAAGTAATTGTGTACCTACAGCAGACTTATGTGACTGTAATCTTTAGCAAATTCTAAAGCTGCTATGTTTAAGCTGCAGACCTATATATTTCAATCACACTATCTTTTGCTAAAACAGACTGAACTTTCCTCCACTATATGAACAGATAAAAAACACTGTGCCTTTCCTTTATTATTAAATCTTGCCTAAAACTGTGAAATAATACAGTGAAATAAGTCTCTGTATTCTTGAATCATTAAAAAAAAAAAAGATAGTGTAAAAGTCCTCTATGGGCCTGTAAATTTAATGCTGACATGACTCTTTTATATAGATCATTCACAATAAAGATACATAAAAGAAACAGCTCCTTTTATGTGTTGCAGATATTTGAAAAACATAATTTTAAAATAACCTTTAATCCTTGAGGAAGTTTCTTTCTAACATGTTTTAAGCATTTAGACATTTAATTAAACTATTAGAGACCAAATTATTAAGGGAAGCTGTTGAACCTTAACCTTTCCTGTCTCACCCATAGTTTGAAAATAGACAATTTCTAAATAAGTGACCATTGCCAACCTGAGCCAGAGGGCAGCATTCACCACCTTATGATACACTCCAAATCCTGATGAATATCAGCTACTTTTTAATTCCTATTTCTCTGTACAATACTCATAAATGTTTTAAAAAATAGATTGCCTCATTCAGCCTATTGCAGAATTGTTAAGTGAATAAATGACATTGCCATTAGCATTCAGTTATAAATACATTTGAATTTTAAACTGAACATATGCTACTTTTCTGCTTGAAACTAGCAGCTTTTGCTTTCAAAAGCCATGCCACAGACCCAGGCATGCCATAATAATGGCAATACTTAGCATTGAGGATGTCAAAGCTCTGTAAATAGGATACTGTCAATATCTCAATCTGATCCGTTAGATACAGCTATTGAAAAAGTTTCTTACTTGAGGCTGCAGAGTGTTCACACCTTGTACAAGAATAGAGCTCTTGTATTTTAGCTGTGAGCTTGATTTAGTTTCTCATTTACTACTCTGGCTATGAATTCAAAAATAAGCTTTTATTCATATGTTTGGGTTTTGCTGTTATGCTGTTATTTTCTTCTTTTTCTCCTTTGATAATACTAAAGTTTTTCTATGTCGGCTTAGATTCAAATTCTTGGAGCCAATTTAGGCTGGAGAATTCCTTGAATACTTGGTTATTAATAACTTTGGTTTCATGCTCCCCTCCCCTATAATCCTTACATAATAATTTCTTCTAATAAAATATTTTTGATCAGATCAGAAATGTATGAAAGAAATAAAAACACTTATTGGCTCCCAGACACATGCAAATAACTTTAATTAAGACAGAACCACAGATAAGATAAACATGTTTTTTAAAAAAATAATAAAAATTAGTAATTAAACACTTGTCTGCTTCATTTGGCAAAGAATAAGTCTGGGACTGTTATCAAACACCAGGAGTGAGTAGAGGAGAAAGTAAGAGACTGAGGTGGATTGAAAGATTATGTAGGGGTGGGGATGCTGTGCACTTTCAGTTAAGCCTGTGGAACAACGAGTTTAGCTGCAAAAGAGTTTGACTGCAAAGCCAAAATCCTGAAGTAACTTCACTGAATCCAGTGGAAATTTGCTTGCTGGGAATCTACTGTTCTCTGTGTTGATTCAAAAACAATTTGAGTGAGGATAGCTGAGTAAGGCTTGACCAGAATTTCACAGTTGATGATGATGAGAGGGATTTCACTGTGGTTTGTTTTACAGCAAGTGATGGAGTTTAAATTTGCACTGGCTAAGATCACTTTAAACCCATTTGTAGCTGACTGTTTTCCGTCACTTTGAAATTAAAGAGTAAGAGTAACCAAACGTATTTCAGGAGTATTCTTTTGACCACGTTAGAAAACAATGGGGTACCACGGCACACTGAGAGCCTGCTTCTTTTAAAGGAGCACATGCCACTTCAAGAAAAAAAAAAGCATGAAAGGAAGCAATGGTGTGCAAATCAAAATAACCCAGTCTTTCTCACTGGATCCATGATTGCTGAAGAATAAACTGCAGGGGAAGAATTCAGACCTGTCTTTATTCAGTCTCCAAAAGCAACTACTTTCCCTATGGACAAGAAAGAAATTCAGTTTTAATGATGGTGGCAGCCTTCCACTGAACGACCTTAATTTTCATGATCAATAATACAAGCAGGTGGCAGCAGTGCCCTCTTCAAATAACTAATTGTTGAAGATTAAGAATTGATTGGTTTGGTTTTGGTTTTTGTTTCTCTTTTATTAACTATCTTCCGCTGCTACATGGGATTCAGCAGTTTTTCACCTGCTCTCAGCCACCAAACTGAGTTCCTGAATTCATTCAGCCACCTTTCTCTTCCTCCTTCTTCCCTCCCTCCCTGCAACACTATTCTGCTGTTCCTCAAGGTTCACTAACCAAAGTCATCCCCTACATCCATCCATTTAGATGGATCTATCTAGATAAATATAGATTAATTTCTGCCAGAAATGTAATTGAATTTATCATGTGTTGTTAAATGTTGTTGAATTTATCATGTGTGTTAATGCTTGTAATGTTTGTATTTTAAATCCTCTCATATTTTGTGCTCTTTTGGTTTTGTTCTTGCAGGTGAAGGTGCACCAGGGACATCACCAAAAGCTGGGCACTATGAGACCTAATCTTTGGTAGGAGCCCATGAGGGATTGGAGGTCCTACTGTGACAGACTTCATTTGGCTTCTTCTTCGTTGCTGTTTCCTTTCCTCAAAGGATTTCTAATGAAGTTGAGATGAAGGTAGGTTTCTCTATATCCTGCATATGCATTTATCCCCTATCTGAATTAACTCCAACTTTGGCAGTTTTCACCACTGTTATTCAATGCAATGCTGCCTGTCAGCACTCTGAGCCTGCAAGCTAGCTCAGGACCCAGGATCAGATCCGAACATTGCAGCATGACATGCTGCCACTTAAGCACTTAATTATACGTAAGGATACAACGATCCACATTGTACCCTTTACAAAGGAGCCACAAGGAAAAATAAAGTCCCACTGCCTTGCCAACCAAAGGGATCTTTGCCAGCACCAGGTGGTGGAAAGTATGAGGCAAGTGAGAAGGGTGACTCTTGGCACTGCTTGTGCAGCCACGGTGACAATTAAAAAAAATGCTGCTTTTGAGAGAGAGGCCAGTAGCATTTGGTGTTTGGTGTCAAGGGGCTGAAAAGGGTGCCACATGAAGCTGAAAAGCCTTGCAGGGGTTCCTAATGACCCATTTTCTGTGCTCCCCCTCCTACTTGGATGATTGTACTTAGCTGGCTACTGTGCTCTTGTATCCAGGTTTTGCCAAGTGGTTATCTTCCTGCTTGCATCTGTTTATTCTGTATTCACCTGTCTGTCTGGAAGGGTGCAAGCGAATATCAATGAAGCTATTGGGATTTTTCTGTCTGATTGAGCTAATCTCTTCTGGAGTTCTACCAGTTGTCTAATTTAATTACCTTGTTCCGAATACAATTTTAGTGGGAAATACAGAGGAATATGAACATGAAATTCATCCATATAAAAAACCATATACTGTGCTTGATTTAGCGTCTGTAATATCTGCACCTAGCTCATCTTCTTGAGTAACAATGGAAAATCTCTAAGCCACTGGGGATGGACAACTGGTCAGCAAGTGAGTTTAGTGCCAAGGCTTTGCAGACTTTCTGAAGTTAAATAGCTTCATGCAAGCTATAGTAGTACTCACTTTCCTTTGAATACTAATAACATCATGCTGTAACTACATCCTAAAGACTTTTGTTTTCTGCTAACAGAAGGAAACCTATCTTTATGTAAGCTTATTTGGAGAATCAAAGTAGGTTATAAATTAATTTTCATTAATTTTTTGCTAGGTAGGAAGATGGTGTAGCTGAAAATGAATTGCTAGAATGTTTAGACGACTTGAAATCTGCGTTCTGGGTAGCCACTGTCTAGTTGAGAAGGTTAAGGCTTAGGAATTTGTATTTCTATGTCTCTGTTCAAATTTCTAGGAGAATAATAACAACACATTTAATGGCATATCAACAGTGGTACACTGAAGTCAAGGTGCAAGGTGTTTAAGGCAGTAATAGACAAGTGTCACTGAAATAGAAAGGGAAGCAACCAGTGAGGTTAGTCCTTACCAAGATTGTGGTAGGTTGTGTGATGAAATCTCATCTTTTTAACTATGGAACAAAACACTTGAAACAAGTTTTTAGGTAAGTATTTAAAGTAGTATGTTTTTATAGAGAAATAACTTTGTACTGTATGAAAGCTAGACATACAAATAGAGTATTTGCTCATAGATTCTTATGATCATTGAAGAGATTTTACCTAATTCTTTTCATTTATTAAGCAGGTGCCTGAGATCCAAAGGGCAGATAATGCAGGCTTCAACTCCATTTATGCTAGTTAACTTCTGTAAGCAAAATATATTCTCTATTTAGAAAAAGAATGAGAATATGAAAAGTGTTGTGTCAGTGATTCTTCAGATTTTCATTCAATTGATCAGAGTGGAAGAAAAAGTCTTTCTATATACCTAGATCCTTTTTATAAATTCCCAGTCCCGGTACTTTGTGTGCTCTGTGGAGAGGCTGTATACAATTATGCCTTGATAGTAAAACAAGATAAAATAATATAATCCCATTGCATTGTCATGGAGATAAAGCATATGATAATATTGTTTTAGTTGATCAGCAGGGTGGCCTAGTACAATGAATTCCTGTCTCCTGGCTGTGGCTTTTCTTCTGAGTCCTGAGAAACACAACAAAGGAAAATAATAATAGCAGTAGTAGTTTTGCTTTCACCTTATGTGAATATGGCAATACTGGAGTCTCATGACATAAAAGACAATGATTGTTTGTACTACCTAAACATCAGTGGCACCACATGTTGTAATGTTGACACCGTTGTCTATCTGTAACAGTACAGGAAAATACAAATGTGTTCAATAGGCAATCACCTTTAGCCTGGTTATGACTGGTACCATACCAAAAGATCATCCTTTCTAAATCAGGCCAACTCTAAATACTAAACATAAATAACATAATTTTATTCCCTAAAGAACTCAGTTTTAATATTTTAGATTTTGGAATGTGCTTTTCTGGACTGTACCTGTCAATTATTGCAAACATTTCCAGGAAAGGAACAAAGGTTCTGGTTCTTATCTACAAAAATTTCTTTATCTATCCAAGGAGAGCAGTCATATAATCAAAATATTATTTTCTCAGAAATAAATAATAAGCAACTTCTGCACTTCATATACTTCGTTAAGGGTGGTTGTCTTCCCTTTTGGTTTGAGCAGTCAGAAAGTCAACACAGAGCATCTTCTGCATCTTATCTCGCTCTGCATGAAAACACTTCCCTGCTACCTGCCAGGGGTTTAGCTCAGGCCACAGTGGTTAATTTTCGAAGAAAACCCTTCTTAAAATATTCTCAGCACATAACTGATAATAGGGAATTAAGAGAGATGATACAGTCTGTTCTCCATACACTCTTTTTCCCTGAGGTGCTGTGAAAGAAATGTGAAATTCACAGGTATGAAATGTATTCACCCACTTCTTTCTTGCACCCCAGAAGCAGAGTACTGCACAAATCACTGTGCAAACCCCCTCGGAGCCATGCTCAGGAGTCGTGAATGTCTCTGCTGTGGTCTCAGACTAGAGCTCTGCGTTTTTATTAGTAATTCAAATTAAACACCCTAAAGTTTGTAGTGGGCATCACAAGATGGGGTCATTCAGTGAACTTGCATTGCACCACATCATAGGGGTGTTCTTCAAAGTGTTCTCAGCACCACATTCTTCTCTTCCTCCCATCCTTCAGCACGCAGCATAGCTGCGCTGACTCTAGAAAGGGCTTTAAAGATCAACCTCAAACCTCACTGCAGTTTTTTTTGGGGGGGCGGGGGAGGGGGAGCTTGAAGCGGGGATCTTGTGCCCTTTTGAGGCCACTGAGAAGCAACAAAAGCCATATTCCTGAGCCTATAATAGATGCAAATTGTGCAGATGGAGAGGAAGCTCTAACAGCCGTTGAATGCAATCTGTGAACGCTACTGTTTCATTTATAGTGATGCTACCTAGGCATTTGCACTTAAAAGGAACAATAAAGAGGTGTCAGAACAATCGCAATGCTGCAGGATTTAAACTGCGGCAAAGACGTTTTGAGCCATGTGAAATGTTGCCTGCAAAAGATCTGTTTTTTCCGTTATTTTTTGTTATTACTGAAGGCTGTTCTAGTTCTCCTTGTTTTATGACACCGAATGGTTCATTTGCCTTCAAAGACTCAGGATGCAAAGAGGGAGGGAAACAAATTAAGTCAAAACTGCAATGACTGGTAAAAACTGCACAAAGTATGTCACAGCTCTTATTTATTTCTCTATTTAGTTCCGAAGTAGCTTTGCTATGCAACTAGATGGTTGATTCACGAACTTGCCAGCCAACCTGTAGCAGATGGAAGTAGAGCTGCTGTAATGTTCTGGTGTTCTTGTTTACAGGACAAAGGGCAAATTCTCAAATATGCAACCTTTGCAGGTGTGCATATACCATGTTGAGGATCTGAACTGCTGTTGCCTTTTTAGTCTCTTGATTTGGAGAGGGGGGTTGTCAGAAATTGCACACAAAAAAATTAAGGGGGAAAAAAAATGTAGTGGCTGTCAACCAACAGACATCTACTGATTAACAAAGAATAAGGGGCTTGCATTTAGTGTCCTGTTAAAAGCACAGTAAGCTGTGATTGTGAGCACATTATCTGTGAGTGTTGCTACTTAACAGCTGCAAATGTGAAAGCTATGTGTGTCTAGGAAAATCAAGGGAACAGAAGCATTTGTTGTTGTACCACAATAGGTGTGTTCAAAGTGCCTTAATCTGAATAAGAGCAAATAGCCCTTGAAAGGGAATATGGAGTCTAAAAATGAATATACTGATTTTGTAATTAAAAAAAAAAAAAGTGTAAAAAAGAGTTGGAGTAAAGCTATATGAATGTTAGGGTAAGCTTAGCTATGTAGCTACGGCAGAAAAAAAAAATGCATTATAGAACCTGTTGTCATTCTGGATCTGCTAGAATTCCTATGGGATACTTTATCTGATTTTTATTAATATAATTCATTTGAATTCTATTGGTGTTCAGAGGCCCTGATTGAGAGTCAGTCATAGTAATATAGCTATATCCCAAAGATCTCATGGTTTTTATAGACAAGGTAGGCAATTAGCAGGTAAATGTCCCACAACTGAGGAACATCCAAATTGCCTAAGATCTTGTCATATCCTAATACTTGTTTGGGTTTTTTACATCACTTAGTAAAACAAGTAATCTGCGAAATGAGATGGTGCTGTTCTCATCTTTCAGAAAAGGTATAGCATAGCTAATGATAATAAATGCTCTAAGAGCTTTCTAATTGATATATTGAAGATCAAAGTGATGTTTTTCATATAATATGGATTTAAACTGTATGAGTCTTTTGAATCAGTAGCTTTTAGTGAGAAATATATCTTAGGGAAAATGGGGGGGGAGGGAGCAGCAAGAGTGTTTGTTTTAATAGTTCTGTCTGTATGAGTGTGTGTACATGTGAGTGAAAAGAGATCAGCAGGGCAAAACATACTATAAATGCTGTAAAGTCTCCTACAATTGTGTCAAGCAGTAAACCCAAATGAACTTGCAAAGTCATGCGCTAGTTCAATTTTGGAAAGGAAAACCTGGCTTTGAAGCCAACTAAATCAATCGCTAGATCAAATTAAATTTGGAGTATCCTGTGAAGCTCCAATACACAACTCCAATAACAATCAGCAC